ACAGGACTGATGGTTGCTGATAATGGGCCTCTGTACGCCTATGTAGATATTCCATAAAAAATCTGCTGTTTCCAGCTACAATAGCCATTTACAATATTAACAATGTCTACACTGTATTTCTGATCAATTTGATGTTATTTTAATGGACAAAAAAAAGTGATATCCTTTTGAAAACAAGGACATTTCTAAGTGACCCCAAACTTTTGAACGGTAGTGTATGTTTTATGGCTTTTCTGTTTACCTCTGCCATATCGTGCATTCAGAGCTATCCATCTAATAGAACTCAGACAGTTTTCTTTAATAAAAGCTTCTCTAATGTCAAAAATGTAGGGAGTGGTGTACCGCAGGGCAGCTCTCTAGGCCCGTTACTCTTTTCTATTTTTACCATTAAGATGAAACAAAGCCTGTGTGTCCATATACGCTGATAATTCAACTATATACGTGTCAGCAACCAAAACTAATGAAGTCACTGAAACCCTTAACAAGGAGTTGCAGTCAGTTTGGAATCGGTGGCCAGTAATAAACTGGTCCTGAACACCTCTAAAACTAAGAGCATTGTATTTGGTACAAATCATTCCCTAAACTCTAGACCTCAGCTGAATATTGTAATGAATGGTGTGGCTGTTGAACAAGTTGAGGAGACTAGATTACTTGGTGTTACTTTTGATTGTAAACTGTCATGGTCAAAACATATAGATTCAATGGTTGTAAAGATGGGGAGAGGTCTGTCCATAATAAAGAGATGCTTTTTTGACACCACACTTCAAAAAAAGTAATGCAGGCTCTAGGTTTGTCTTATCTTGATTATTGTCCAGTCATGTGGTCAAGTGCTGCAAAGAAAGGCCTAGTTAAGCTGCAGCTGGCCCAGAACAAAGCGGCACATTTTGCTCTTCATTGTAATCAGAGGGCTAATATAAATACTATGCATGCCAGTCTCTCTTGGCTAAGAGTTGAGGAGAGACTGACACTTCTTCCTTTTATAAGAAACATTAATGTGTTGGAAATTCCAAATTGTTTGCATAGTCAACATACACACAGCTCTGACACACACACTTACCCGACCAGACATGCCACCTGGGATCTTTTCACAGTCCCCAAATCCAGAACAAATTCAAAAAAGCGTACATCTCAAATTGCTCAAATGAACAGCAAACCTGGCTTAAAAAAAACAGATATACCAACACCTCATTGCACAATGGCTCTCACCTATTTGACCTAGATATTTTGTGTGTATGTATTGATATGTAGGCTATGTGTGCAGTTTTAAAATGTATGTAGTTCTGTCCTTGAGCTGTTCTTGTCTATTGATGTTCTGTAATATGTCATGTTTCATGTTTTGTGTGGACCCCAGGAAGAGTAGCTGCTGCTTTTGCAACAGCTAATTGGGATCCTAATAAAATACCAAATGTAAGGTGAATACAATGTCAAGTTTGAACATAGGAGTGTGAGGTGAGACTCAATGACAGCCAACTAATGGTAACTCCCTTCTGAAAGGATTAGCCAATGGCACTCACCTCAGACATATTTGGCAGCCAAAGAAGAGTAACCATCAAATGAGCACTCACCTCTGAGATGTTGGAGACAGGCTCCACCTGCACCTCGGTGGAGCTCACAATCTCAGTGGAAGTGGTGTCCAGGATCTCCACGGCAACAGAGATGAGGAGGCGGGCCCTGAAGGACACACCTTCCCCCAGCCCCTCATTCAGGTCCTGGTGCTCATCCATCAGAGTGTAGTGACGGGTTGAGCCATACATGTTTACCCAGGCTGGGCCCATGGTGGGGAGGAACCCTGGGGGAGGAGAGGACAGGGTGAAGGAGGAAAGGAAGGGGGATGGAGGATGACAGGTGAATTGAACGAAAGACAGGGTCCTGAGAAAGGCTGTGTGTCGTGGTGCAGGAGTGTTGCGCTGCTGTAACGGAGGAATGTTGCATGATAACTATTTAACTTTTTCTGACATTTGCTGTGGACTACGTACATGATCACTTAATTTTTTGCATGAAGACATTATGATTTGCAGTGGAATTGAAAGACTTACCTTCCTGAAAAGTATTTATTCCTCACATACTGTATGTTTTAAACTATTTGAGTATTCTATTAACTTTGTATTTTTGCATGCTTCATTGTTGTGATACTCCCACGCAGATGACGACCTCTGAACTTACCACATGGGCTTCCCACTGGATTATTGACTATGATAAACAAGCCCCTGCGCAAATCGGAACTGTGGGCGCTGCCCGCATGGACCAATGGGGTTGGGGCGGGGGTTGTCCACCTTTGTTTCCCAGAGGATATAAGCGGAAGTGAAGTGCAATGGAGAAAGGCGAACTAGACTGGCGGTCGAAATTCTCAGAGAATGGCGGAAGCGGATACCGAGTTTGAACCTGATGGCGCCAGCAAAGATGACAATGAGAATTAAGGTGATGAGAATACTGGATGGACTACAGTCGCTAAAGGACGGGTAAAGAGAGCTAAAATTACAGTTAACACGCTGTCCAGTATGCCTACTGCTTATGGCGCAACTACTTCACAATTTGTTGTAGGAGTGCGGTTTGAGGATAAGAAGATGTACATGGGAGATACGTTTGATGTTGCCAAGATAGTGAATAAAGTGTTGGGTATAGTGGAATCTGTGAGGGTGACCATCATTATTTTTGGGTGTGTTGGCAGAACAAAAGGAGCGCGCTGCGCCTCACCAGAATAAAAAATCAAGGACTGCTTTCGATTTTCGGAGCAGGGCACCAATGAAGGGCATGATTTCTGAAGTATCTGTGGAAGTTGGAGCTGAGAAGATCAATATGAAAATTCCTGGAGTAGTTGGGGCTCGAAGAAGATAGCGAGTATGTCTGTGTTACTGTTTTTTGATGAGTCTCTCCCCACTCATGTCAATATGGTATATGTGAGTCACCCTGTGAGGGCATTTGTCCCCAGGTTACTGTAGTGTTCCAACTGCAAAGCATTTGGGCATGTGTCAAGTGTTTACAAAGAGTATGACTTGAGTGAAATGTTTGCTGCGGAATATGACGTGGAATGTTGCAATTGTGGTGGGAAGCATGCACATGAGTTCCCTGAATGTCCTGTAAGGGTGAAGGAGGCAGAGATTGCTAGGATAAGAGTTGTTCAGCATGTCTCCTATGCCGAGGCAGCAAGAAAAGTTAAAGAATGTTCTGTTGCCATGGAGAGACCGTAGTCCAGTGCTGTGGGTGCCATTCGCAAGGTGCAGGATCCAGATACCCATGTTGTGAAGAAAGTAGATTTTTTGGGGCATTTATTGCTATGGTGATTAACTGCACTGCATGAGTGGATAACAACTCAAGAAAGAACGATATCATAGTATCTGCAGCTGAATGAAGGATGTAACAGGTAAGGAGTAGCTGCATGGTGTACTGACTGGAGCAGCAGTTCCGTCCTCTCAGGTCACAGGATCTGAGTAGGGCCTTTGAGTGTATTTTGAAGGACTGAGGGGTTTTTGTTTGTTTTCGGATGTTTGAGAGGATTAAAAGTTTTTCTGTGTTGGATTTCCCCCTTTTTTTATTTTTTGCATCCAGTGGTTTATTTCCTGCATTCACCGTTTCCGGTGTGGTCTGCCCTAAAACACCACAGAAGAAGGAGAAAGGAACGCTAACTTGTCTATACTCCTGGTGCGACAACTGCTAGACCGAGCCAGCCTTTGGAGAGGCTGAAGCGCAGCAGCATTGTGTACCTTAAGGTGATTCACACCACACACTGGGCCAGTAGCATGTGACCAGGGAAAATTGTAAGTCAACTGGTCTGATTTGTTTGTGTGGTGGAGGTAAACATGAGGCCGGCTGGGGGCCAGGTGGACTACTGTGCTCAGTGGCAAGTTGGCGATACACAAAGGTACGTGGAGTGTTTTACTTAGCATTGTTTGAACAGTTATCCTTTTTGACATTTGTGATTATTTTTAATCCAGTCCAGTTGTAGTTTTAAAACACGGCTGAGCTATACGATAGAGAGAACGTTTTCTACACACATTGAGTGTGTTGGGAGTGCTGTGAGGAACGAGGCACTGGCCCTATTCTCTTGTGTTAAGATCGCTCATCCGGCTTCACCGTGTGGGAAATCAAGGAGCTGCCGTGAGATAATCTTTACTGCTGCACGTGAATCAGCATTTGGACTGGACTGAGGACGACGCTGGCGCCATCTGGTGGAGTAAGAATGTATTTTGAAAGTAACTTTCTTGTGGGCTTGTTTTTCTCAAGAGGATTTGAGCACTTTTTGGCTGAAGACTTTTCTGTAGACAATATTTTTAAGCACTCATTCAAAAATAATAATCTAATAAATTATAATTGTTTACTCCTTTTCTGCCTCCTTCTGGGTAATTGTTACACTGCTCCCCTCCCAAACCAAGAACCTGTTATTTTATAGTTATTCCATTGCGTTCCAAGGACTCATATCAAACCTGGGTGGCATAGTACGGCTACATTATACCCTCGGCTGCCTGACGGGAGCAGCAAACTATCGATGATTTTCTATATTCAGTTGGTTTAAAGTCCTCTAATGACTTGGTAAAAATGACTTAGTACCAAAATGACTAATGTGCTACAATAACATTGGCTTGACCTGATTACCTATCAATATGAGGCTAATGTTGATCTATGGATCGGGTAGATATATCACCTCACCTTTGTCACCATCGTTGGCGATCTTTCGCAGGTCAATGAAGTGCGTTCCTATGGCGACATCGTTGACTTTGTCGGAATCTCGTATCTGGACCTTGATGCGTTTGCAGAGCGGAGGAAACATCTCAGTGAAGACAACCTGCTCTTTCCAGATGGGCTCATAACTGCTCTTCTGGACTGACGTCTTCCCCTGGGGGAAACAACAACATACGTTTGGATTGACACACATTTCTTACACTAAGACACTTCATATTATGTAAATACTGTATTTATAATGTGATTGTGATCCATTATGTAATGCTATTTGTCTCTTTTGTTTATCCAACAAATAAATAAAACAGACAGTTTCAATAAAACCGCTACAGCTTCATGGTGTTGAGAAGTCCTGATCTCCTGAGTAGTGGACCTACTTTCTGTCCAGCGAAGAGCACTTGTACATATGGGTCCACCAGGTCTCTGTTCTCTCCAATGAAGGCCTTCTTCACGTTGGCCATGATGCTGGTGTTCATCTTGGGAAGGCCCTCGGCTCGGTAGATCTTCACGTAGAACCGCGCCCACTGCCTCTCCAAAGGAACTCCCTCTGGAAGCAGGAGGTTCCTGAACAGAAAAAAAAAAAAGGTTGAAAAATGGTTGCAAGTCTGATTTTGTTTCATCAAAACCCTTTGACAACATTCTCTGACCGCTAGAACATTGTATAACCCGTCAACATTCTCTTACCCCTCTATGTCGTCTTCATCCGTCTCGTTGGCTTTGTGGGGAGTCTTGATGTTGTCCCCCTTCCCCACCACGGCGATGTCACACTTGATGTAACCTTTGCACCCCGCCGTGATGTCATCAGGGTCAGACAGCATGGCCCACTTGTGGTAGAACTGGTGCTCTGTGATACAGGTGCCAATCAATCATCCATTAATTTAACCAATGAATCATCATGTATCCTTATAAGAGGTTCTGAAACATTGTGGGTCTAGACCCATGTGCCAGTCTCAGCACCCTTACCAGGCTGGGAGTAGACTGTGCCAACATCTAGCTTGAAGGTGCCAACCAAGGTGCCACTCCGCAGCAGGTTCTTGGAGTGGATCACCTAGCGAGGAGAACATATAGAATATACTGCAAACATATGGGCTACATTAGACCTGCCATAGAGACTGTTGGTCTTGGTGTTGTTTTGGAAGCAGTGGAGTAGGGTTGGTTTCATGCTCAAAGGCTGTTAATGTAAAGAGAAAGATTGAGTAGGTGTGTGTGTGTGTGTGTGTGTGTGTGTGGGTAGAAGAGATACATGTATGCTACTTACTGAGAGCTTGAGGATCTTGTCAAACATGACATCTGGTGGGACGTGGAAGTCAAAGACAAAATACTGTGGGGAGAAGATAAGACTGTATGAGATGTGACAGATACATTAGCCTTACTTTCTGTCAAATGACCCATGTTGTACCTTGGTATGATCATTCCATTGTGTTCAGGAGATTCAAAGGTTCCATTTAATCAATCAACCCCATAATGATTAATGGATCATGGACACAACACACATGTTTCTACAGAATACAACCAATGATGATCAAATGAACATACTTTCAGCATTGGTTGAATCAATTCTGTGTCGCGTCCAGGTTAATCTTATATAATACAAGGGTAATTATTACTGATTAACACGCTTGTCAGCCAAGCAGGATCAGGACACCAGCTGAATAATGCTTTCATGTTTTGCTCAGCCTCCCTCTCGTGAAATAAGAGCGTAATGTGTAGAGCTCAATAGCGAGAGGATTCCTGCTGAGCCCACAGTAGAGGCTTTGATCGGAACAGAGCCAGGCTGGTGTTGAAGCCCCTGGACTGTGACTGGCTGCTCTTCTTTCTGTTTCAACTCAATTATACACATACTGTAGAAGAGAGAGGGGAGGGGAGGGAAGGGAGGGAGGGATAGTGGGAGAGAGAGAGTGAGAATGAGAAAGAGAAAAAGAGGAGAGAGAGAGAGAATGAGAGAGAGAGAGAGAATGAGAAAGAGAGAGAGAGATAGAGAGAGAGACAAACTTACCTCATTGTAGTAGGGGCAGTTGGTGGATTCCTTCATGGAGGTGTACTTCTTGTCATCCCCAATCTCCACACAGACCACAGGGTCCATGTTTAGGCCTACCAGCTGCCTGGCCTCGACCACTGTGATGCTAATCTAATGGGTTGCAAAATAACATAACATTTTCTTAAGAAAACAGGTTTTTCAGAAATCCCGTTTGGAGGATTCTAGGAATCAGAAGGGAATAAGCAGGTAGGTAATCTTCCAGCCGGGATTCATTTTACTGTTGCTGGCAGGGGAGAGTTACTGCAGCCTGAAGTTAGGCTACATTAATGAGCTGCTAGCTTTTGTTCTACCCACCCAGCCTTCACACTATCCCCTATCCCTTCATCCCTACTGGCGCTTTCTTTCTTTCCTCTCTACTACCCCTCATCCCTCCATCCTTCCTTCTGCCATTGGAGTTGGTAAATGGGGATCCTAATAAAATCCACACAAAAAATCCCTCTCTCCACGAACTCCAGCAGCTATTGTGTAATGGAGCTAAGGATGCATAGATACAGTGGAGACAAACACACACAGCTGGCAGGGATAGGGTTAAGACTTGTCTCCCTTTAGGGGCTATCTGTTAAACAAAATGGACAGGCATGGTTACATCTGACCACAGTGCATACAATATACATTTCCAGCAGTGACTGTAGTAGTGGTAATTCCTTTCCTCCTCTCACCTGGTAATCCACAGGCCTCCCAGAACTAGGTTCCATCTTGATATCAGGCTTTGACCTGAGAGCGTCAAGAATACACAAATCAGAGCTTTTCCTTGTAAAATGTAGGCTGCAGTTGACTATTTACTCAATTTGGTATAGTACTGTAGTGTGGGTTATAAACATGAATAAGCGTGTTATAAAGGGTCAATGGATCATTGCACTAACAGATGTACAGCAAGTATACAGTACACTGACCTCTTGTTGGAGACATTGGTGGTGACGGCGGTGACAGACGCCAGGGAGATGCAGTCTGGGTCGAGACCCCCGACTCCTCTCAGACGCATGGCCTTCCTGTCCAGATACTCCATGTCCAGGGTGGCTGGCTCATCTGCGGGGTGCCATCACAATAACCCATGTCAGTTTATGCCAGGGGTGGGCAACCCTCCTCCTGGAGAGCCACTGGGATATATCTGCTCTAACACACCTGATTCAGCTTATCAAGGTCTGGATGAGTAGCTGGTTAGTAAAAGCCTACCCTTCTTATAAAGGTCTGGATAAGCAGCTGATTAGTAAAAGCCTACCCTTCTTATAAAGGTCTGGATAAGAAGCTGATTAGTAAAAGCCTACCCTTTTTCAAGGTCTGGATGAGCAGCTGGTTAGTAAAAGCCTACCTTTCTTGTGGTCGTCTTTGGAGCTCTTGGTCTTGCCGAGCTTCATGGCTGAGAATACCCCCTTCCCTGCTCTGATGGAGGAAGAGAAGAGGAGGGAGAAAGTAGAATAAATATAAAGAAACTACTGAAATTCTACACAGTGAAATCGGGTAAAATATCTGGGAAGACCTCCCACATTTGGACTAATGGCAAAGACAATTTCCCAAATGTCATGAACTGTTCTCATTATGTTGTCATTCTGAGGACTTTACTAACTCTCTTAGTTAACCTTTATATTCTTCTAAGGAGGACCTCATTCAACAAAAAAACATGTGAGTACATGATGAAAACCTACAGTAACTAACTAAACCCTACACCAACATAACACATTGCACCATCAGGATGGAAACATTTTGCAGAGATGAACATTACATTGAGGAGACAGTCTCTAAACCCCCCGACCCCTATCACAATAGAACCTAGGGGTGTACAATAACACCACACAGTTATTACAGAGGATCACATATCACCACCACAACAAAGGCTGTGATGTCACTGCCGGACCGGCAAACAAGGGGCCTTAATAATTAAAAATGATGTGCGTGACCGTCCAATTAGCTGCGGATATGGATACATGTCAGATAGAAGATGAAAGGGAGGTTTTCTATTTGTCTTCTCAAGCGTTCTAAAGTGAAGTAGTCGATTAGAGTTACATTTCTGCTTTCCATCTTTCCTTTCATTAATTCACTGATATGTATCGAACCCTCTTTTGATAAGAACCAGAAAATTAAGAAGATAAAATGGAGTGTTCTTTCAAGAATAGATATCATATTACACCGTATTCAATATGACAGGTTTGGGAAATGGAAAATCCTTCAGAAAGAAGCAACATTATTTAGACTACAAAAGACTTAGCAATGGTTCACTCAAGGCTGGTGTATCTAAAAAGCTTCAGGGTCTAGCTACAGCTCTCCTAGTCATTTCAAATCAAGGTCAAACACATTCAAGGCAGAACAGACGTAAATAAATAAAAACATAATAAAAAAAGATTAACCTCTACGGGATCGGTGTCCCGTATATGGGACGGTTGAGCTAACGTGTGCTAATGTGATTAGCATGACTGTTGTAGGTAACAGCAAACTTTCCAGGACATAGACATGTCTTATATGGGCAGAAAGATTAAATGATTGTTAATCTAACTGTACTGTCCAATTTACAGTAGCTATTGCTTGAGGAGAGTGCACAACAACAAAAAACGTATCACGGCAACTGGTTTGATACATTCACCTCTGAAGGTAAATAATGTACTTACATTCGGTAATCTTGCTCTGATTTGTCATCCTGAGGGTCCCAAAGATAAAATGTATCATAATTTTGTTTGATAAAATCCATTTTTATATTCAAATGTAGGAACTGGGTTCTACAGTTTGAACCCTTGCTGTCTCTGGCGCCACACCCACCCCGCTAGTTAGTGTATAAGCTAATGATCCATCATGTATGACATTCCTGGGAGTGTGTAAACTTACATTTTGTATTACCATATCATTTTTGTATGTTCTCTATAGTCATGTACTTGAAAATGTATCAATTGACCAATTCGGCACATTTGGGCAGACTTGATACAAAAATAGTCCAGTATTGCAGTGCTTCACTGGATCAATCTGAAACTGCACACACACTGCTGCCATCTAGTGGCCAAAATATAAATTGTGCCTAAACTACAATATTATATTGTGGCCTTTCTCTTGCATTTAAAATATTATGTAAAAAAAAAAAAAAAAAAAAAAAGATACGCATGTTTTTTGGTTTGTATTATCTTTTACCAGATCTAATGTGTTATATTCTCCTACATTAATTTCACATTTCCACAAACTTCTAAGTGATTCCTTTCAAATGCTATCAAGAATATGCATATCCTAGCTTCAGGTCCTGAGCTACAGGCAGTTAGAATTGGGTATGTCATTTGAGGCGAAAATTGAAAAAAAGGGTCCGATCCTTAAGAGGTGAATGGAAAGCCTTGGAAGTGTTGCTTTTGTATGTTCAACTTACAAGCCATACATCTATTCACATAGCAACTGTACTATTATCATGCCGTCTATTATTGACCATCTAAAAATGCAAATATTTAGATTGTAATATTTGTAAAACAAAACCAAGAATGGAATCATCAGGTGTTGACCACAGCCTCAGTCAGATGAACAGACATTTAAGCAGCTCATACTAATGATCAAGCAAAAGCAAGTGGTTCATACATACCATACAGAAGATACCCCAGGTCCAAACCCAGCTCAGGATGACAACACTAGCACCCTCTCTCCCTGTCGCTCAACAGAATATGCTTCACCTATCACTCATTCACTCTATTCCATATTAGCAGTTCCTTCCATAGACAAGGAGCCAAGCTCACAGGCAGGTAGGTAAAGAGGTACACAGGGAGGCAGAGGAGGCAGAGGAGGGAGAGGAAGAGGAATGTGAGAGGATGAATCTGAGGCTGGAGGAGATACAGTAGTGCAGAAGCTACTGTGGGGTTGGGGAGGAGGGAGCAGACAGGGGGAGCGCTGACGACCAAATGATACGAGAGTGTAGCCAAGCATGGCAAAGGATCCATTGGAGCACTAATACAGTACACACTGGAGTGCAGACACACACGCACACACACATACGCACGCACACAGACACTGTGGTGGTTGAAGAAGTATTTGGGATCTCACTTTGTCATTTT